TCCAGATAAGACATAAGACGGAGGTTCTGTTGGTCAGTGAGTCAAGCTCCTGGGTAGGTGACTTGGGCCTTGCCCTGGATGGGGTTGCACTCCCTAAGGGACAGGGTCCACAGCTTGGGAGTGCTCCTCCACCCGGAGCTGTCCTTGGAAGCCCAAGTGACAGCGGTGGCGAGGAGCGCTTTCCTTCAGCTTCGGCTAATCTATCAGCTGAGTCCCTACCTGGATAGGCTGGTGGGGTTGGGAGTAGGAGGCACTGGTTGGCAACTGCCTAGCAACAGTAACACATGCATTACTTCCCGGTTGGACAGCGCGCTTTATGTGGGCCTGCCCTTGAAGACAGTCCGGATACTTCAGATGGTGCAAAATAGAGCTGCCAGGATGCTGTCGGAAACTGGGCATTATTCTCATATAACCCCAGTCCTCTATCAGCTCCATTGGCTTCCCATCGAAGTCCGGGCTCAATTCAAGGTGCTGGTTATTACCTATAAAGCCCTAAACAGCTTGGGACCAGAATACCTTAAGGAACGCCTTTTTCCCTATTTGCCCTCCTGCCTCCTGAGATCGGCAACAGAAGCCCTCCTCCAGGAACCATCTGTGAAAGAAGTTAGGAGACAGAGTACCCGGAGGAGGGCCTTCTCTGTGGTGGTGCCCCAACTGTGGAATGCACTCCCCAGAGAGGTCCGCCTGGAGCCGTCATTATATGTTTTTCAGCACCAGCTTAAGACCTTTTTATTTAATCAATATTTTAATATGTTTTAATATTGAATTTTAATATTGTATTTGCAGCCAGAGTGGGTCATCAATTTATTTATGCTGTTAGCCATCCAGAGACGCTGGTAATTGGATGGCATACAAATTTCATAAATAAATAAATGATCCATGGTTTTAATTCTAAGCAACCGAGAGTACCAGGCTCATACATCATGAGAACAGCCCAGAAAAAGCATTCCAGAGCTGTAAGTGAGCAAGTAAGCAAGTGCACTGGAGACAGAATACTTGCTATCACTAATACAGCCATAGCTAATTATGAGTTGGTTAACCTATAGTTAGTTAGTCATTACCTACAAACCAGGTTAACCTCTTCAAAATGAGCACACAAGTCTTGTAATCTCAATCATTATTTACCAAATTTCTTAACGCTATTACTGGAAGTATAATACAACCAAGCATACTTACCACAAATGCTGTCTCAACAAAATGCTGTCTGAAAAAGGAATAACCTAAATTGGAAGACGAGGTAAGCTATTTATGAAAATCTAAACCATTTTTATTTACGCAGACACAGGAACTGTGGATTTTAAGGACTGAACTGTGCGAGATGGTCGCCACAAATTAAAATGGTTGTGGCTATTTCACTTCTCAATATACAGCAGTTATTTCAGATTTAATTTATAATGAAAACTTTGATTTAAGGATAAAACTAAACTTGCTTCCTTGTCAGAATATTGTTCCACCATAAAGTATCTAGGAAATTGTTTCTATCAGCAGTTTCTCTTCAAGTCTCTAAGATCTGTTTTAACAATGATTACTGAAGGCATACAGTTTTGTAACACAGCAGAAGCCAAGCAGACATTCATTTTTCCAATTTAAGATCAAACTGCAGCAACAATAAAAATGCTGTCTGATTTGTCAAGCTGAACTTTACATGTAACAGCATGAACAATTTTCTTAGTCCTTTCATTAAATAGCAGTGGTTTTAGTCAAACTATAGACTTCTTAGACTAACAAGAGCATAAACATAAAATCCAAGGCTACAGAACCAGAAGTTACAATTTGCTGAAAAAAATTATTGGCATTAACTGAACAAAACAGGAACTAATATTTATTCGGCAATATTGTGTAGCTGAAATCACTTGCTAATATTAACTAATCAAAGAATTCAGCAACTGACTTCTGAACATTAAAAATAACACTGACTAGTCAAAATTCTCTATTATGTCTGTGATAATTGACAAAATGTTGTTGTTCTGTTACAAAACTAAAAATTGTGTCTCAAAGGAGAGTGGGTAAGATCAGTTTTGTTTTGTCTTTTTAAACACCTGAAAGTGGCAGGAACTATTTTCAAGAGACTGCAAGTAGGCTTCAAAGAAAAACACTTTCTCTCTGATTCCACCAAGAGAAATGCCCTGCTGAATCAAGTGTCTCCTGAAGGCAGGAAGAGCTCTTCCATTCAAAGGATTCAAACATTTGGATCCAAGCTATATTGTGTATCTATTCCATCTAACATACATTTATGATTATGGTTTCCTAATTGATCAAGGGACTGGATTTCCATCTCAACAGGATTAACCACTGAACCCAGGCTACCATGATCCACAATGTGTTTCTTAGACTTGTTATTATTCTAACAAGTAACTTAAATACTTTGTATATCACCGAAAATGCATTTCATCCAGTATGTTCCAGATCTGTCCTGAAAAGTCTGGACACATACATTTTTAAGGCTGCAATCTTATACCCATTTGCCTAAGAGCAAGCAGCACTGAATTCAATGGACCTTTTTACAGAGACAAATATAGGCTTGCACTTTTGGTATGTAGTCTTATTTAAAAGTGTACAAAGATGACCAAATGAAAATGCAATAATTCATAATCCCACCACATCTGTATGCAAATTTTTACACCTCATCATAGGTGTGGGCAGCATGATCAAAGCTTTTGAACTGTTGCATACCAAAAATCAATTAATATTCATATTCAGGAAACATGCTTTCATACTGGTCTAAACAATTATGTAAACCAATCTTTTAATTCCAAAAGCAAGGAAAGTAACTTATCTTAATTCTCTATATTCATATGTAAAAGATATCTATAAAAGTGTTATAGCAGCAAAACCTTTTGTTCTCACATTTCATTCATGTGGGATTTAAAATCCCTTAATAAACACAGCAGTTGTAAAATGCAACAGATTATCTTAAAATGTTGGTACTAACTTTCAATAAACAAGAACATCTAAAGAAGCTTCAGGTTTTTTTCTCACCACCCTTTATATCCAAAAACTGAAGCATCATATTATGCTCATGACAAAACTTTACTCTGTATGTAACACAAATTCAATGTCAAATCCTAGGACTCTTCTTACTTCTTCACCTTTTATGAACAGAAGTAGATTTCACTCTGTTCAGGAAGGTCAGATCCGAAAAAGTAACATGAGAAATACTATCATCTTCCAGAGTTTATGTAACAGATATACCTGGACAAATAGAAGAGCAGGAGCTACTCTTGGAATAATTCATACAAAGACAGACAGAAGTAAATACACTTTTCTTTAAATAAGAATTTAAATCCATCCTTATCTTCTTTAGTTTTGCATATTTCTCAGTGTGAACTCTACAGGAATTCAAAAGTTTTAAAAAATAAGTACATTTATTAAAATAAAGTAACTTTTCATGAATATGATTCAAACTACAAGAGTCAGTAGAAACAATTCACATGACTTGCTATGGGTCATCAAACACAAGGAAGAAGGGTTATTTGAGGGTTGTCTAACTTTCAAATAACCTTAAAACAAGCCATGAATTATTTGAGGGCTGTCCAACCCTGAAGCACCTCCTGCACTTGCATTTACAGGCACTACAACTCACAGCACATTGACAGTCCATGGACTGTGCATGCAATGACAGTGGGAGTGCAGCGTTTAGACAGAAAAGAATCTACAACTCCCAGCATTTCCTAGCCATTTGCACCCTAACAACACCAAGCAAACAGCATCTATTGGAGACCCAGCTCTGAATTAAGTTTTTCATTACACTGCAGAAGCTACAATTAGACTACCAACTACTAAGAAAAATATTCTGCATTAAAAGAAGAGTATTCATCAAAATGCTAACATAGATAAGCTGTCCCTCATTAGAATAACTTGCTATCAAAAACATAGATTGCACTGTTACAACTGAACAACTGTTACAACTGAGTGCAACTGAACATGGTATGTAAAGGAAGCAGAATTAAATCCATGTTATGTTTTATGTGTTTATAACTAATAATTGATTTTTTTCTGGGTGGATTACAGACAGTTAAAACATAAAATGTTATACCAAATTTTCACAAAATAAGGCACATCGCAAAATATAGAGAAAGGGGCCTTCTCTGTACACGTATCTGGAACAACTATAGTTCTCCCAGATACCTGTAGAACTAATGTAGTAATGGGAACATACATTTTTAATACCCAAACATTTAGCCACACACTGCACCTAACTTATTTTTTATACTTGTAAAACTTCTATTTCAGAAAGGTGGAGCTTTTAGTAGCATGCATTCCCTACTAAGGTTGCCTATTTATCTTCTGTGAAAGTCTCCTTAAAATGGTCATTCCAAAACTCTCATCAGGGTGAGAAAAGCTTTTAAACTGATTCCAGACATCAACACTACCTATCTATAGCTGCACATCCCAAGAGCTAATACGATCCAATTACCAACAACAGTGCTTTTGTCATTTTCCTTGTTTCCAGCAAAAGGGATATTTACATCCTCTGCAAACTTCTCCCAACCCTGGCATCATTCTGCTGATTTCATAACCTGGATAGAAAGAAAAAATCTACATACAGATCAACTCCAGAGGCAGTACCACTATCCGTACAATTCACAACCTCTTCTGCAGAGCATCCAGCCACATCACATCGACAATATCGATTTCCCTCATTTGGAGAAAAGAGACACGAGCAAAGGCCATGCAAAGACAGATTGATTTTCTGTATTTTTCCCACCAGTCCCCAAAGCTGCTCCAGATGAGCACGTCGTCCACCCGGTCCTCCCTCCCCTAGCCACTTCTTCGTGATGGACCCATTTCTGCCGCCACTCTATCCAGTTCTGCAGTAAAATGAAAGCTCCTTCCCCCCCCCCCCACTCCGCTTTATTGGAGGGGCGAAAGAAGAAAACGGAGGTAGCCTCACTCCCAGAAGCCCTCTTCGTTACATCGCCTTCCGACGTTTCTTCCATATGGTCCCCAGTTCCAGCCACCCCACCCTGCTACCTTTCCCTTCCAGGGCCGTCCCTTACCAAGCTTCCCGCGGGATTCCTCCAGCTTCTGGATCTGATTTTCCAGGAAAAGCACGGACACGCCAAACGCCAGCACCGCCAGGAGCTGCAACTTAGGCGGCAGCATAATCCGAAGCAGCCCCATCGGCAGCGGCCGCCTGGTCGCTCGTCCGCCTGGGGATCACGACATCACGCGGGGCCCGGGCGGGGAGGCCGGGGAGCCTCTGCAGGGGACACAACGAGCAGCCAGGCGGCCGGGCGAAGGAGGGGTGGCAAGCGAGCGGCAGAGCGAGGAGGACGAGACGCGGGGGCACGCTCGCGGGACCAGACGCGGCTCTCACATTCCTCACGGTCCCCCGCGGCGGCGCCTCAGCCACCCTTTCATCCGCCAACCGGCAAAATCCCCTCAGCGGCGGCTCAGTCAGTCAACCAGCCCCGCTCCCTCCACGGTCACAGGCACGCGCCCCCTCCACCCAACCGCCAATCTGCGTGCGCTGCTCAGCAACCGAACTCCCCGGCGCATTTACGCCCACTACTTCTACCATTACCCAGCCAGCTCGCAGACTCCGCCCAAGTACTTGCCTTCTATTGGCTACGACTGCTTTCATTCCTAATCTATTGGCTAGTCACGCCGTCCACCCGCCCACCAACCCTTCAGTACGTAACTCACAGGAGTAGAACTGAGGCCCCGCCCACACGCTTTGTGTCCTGATTGGACCAGCTCATCCAGACAGCCGGTCAGCCTTTCATTAGACTACTGGGTACTAGAATTTTAGAGAATTGCCATGTCTCGCAGTTTGATTGGTCCAGCTCATTGCCAATCTCTAGAAGTCTGTCTTTGTAGAAAGTAGGCTCTCGCTATAGTGTTCTTGAAAGTGCCTGGGGAAAAAAAACACGAAAAAAGTGTGTAACTTGAAAATACAGTGGATCTTCTCCCACAAATATACTCAGACTTGCCATTTCAAAATTTTAAAGTCGTCACCATAAGGATGGGTGGGGCTGAGCAGCATTTTCGTCGGTGGTTCTGGCCTGGCGGTGCTTTGGACACTCAGAAGGGCTTTTCATGAATTTCCTGCGGTGCCGGCAACTGTCGGTGCGCCAGCATGGCGGCGGCGAAGGGAGCGATGGAGCTGGGGCGCTTCTGGGTGTGGCTCTTGGCGACGTTGCAGGCGGTAAGGGACGCTTTGGAGGCGAAGGAATTGGGAAGGACGGGCGTCCGTGCTTGGAGCCGGGCGGAAGCGCGCGTTCCTGGAGCTAAAGCGGAATCCGGAATTGCTGGTTCGATTTCTGGCCTTGCCTAACTGGGTTCGTCCTCTGCAGCCGTGCTGGAGCTACCTCGGAAATAAGGCCCTTTAAAATGGGGGTGGTGGAGTTGTTGCTGAGGAAAGAGGCATAAAATCGGGTTTTTCGCTAATAGCGGCGTTCCCCCAATACATTATCGGATTAATACAAATAATAGTGGAAAGTTTAGGACGCAGTCGAGAAAGAAAGACGTTTTGCAACTTTATACAACTTTACTGAATTTTAAGTCATTTCTACTGTATGTTTAAGCGACTTTAAATTCATTTTAATGCTGCTTTGCTTTCATGACACTTGTTTTACATTGTATTGCACTGTATTGCTTTTGTGCATTGTTGTAAACTGCCCAGAGAGCTTTAACTATGGTTCCATGTAAAAACAAAATAATATTTTCTTGCATTTTCAGGTAGCAGTACTGGCTGGAGAATGTTGAAGACTTTTTTCTGTCTTAATGTGTATGGAATTATGATCTTTGTTATTCTTAGACTATTTAAATTAATAGAACTTAAGTAGTTTTAGCTTTAGGCTCGGGGTTCCTATAACTATAACTATAACTAAGTTGGAATCAAATCATTCATCTATTATTTCATTTCTGTACAGCATAATAGCCAAAGGCTCTCTTAAATGAGTTGTTACTGAACATAACTGGTTTAACTGGACAGATCGCCCCTCCACTGTGTTTGTCAATCTTATCCACAATATGTTGGTTTATTATTATGCAAATATGGACTGTGTGTGATACCTCAAACCTATACCGTGGGAGTGACTATTGCTAAAATCAGCAGAAGTTACTTTTCATAATGTGTGAGATATTAAGACCTGAGTCATTCTTAACAGCATGAGATCTAGTTCTAGTTGTTAGGATGGAAGAGCCCTGAGTTTAAACCCTACTTAACCATAAAACTCACTACATGAGCTTTGGTTCTCTGTTAGCCTAATTTACTGTAGAAGGAGGCTTTGAGAATTAAAGGGAGATGTGGAGGGACCATATGCTTCCCTGAACTCCTTGGAGGAGGAATGGAATAGAAACATACCATTCAAACTGGTTTGGTTTGCTGAATTGTTTTTTGCTTCCTTTTGTTTTGTTGGTTTTGTTTTTTGATTGGTTTGAACAGTTGATGGCATGACAGCAGCAGCTGAGGTCCTTTCATATATGTGGAGGCTCCCTGCATGATATAGAACAGGGTGTGTAGAAAGTAAGCCTCTAGATAATTTGGACTTCAACTTCTTGTATCCCTGACCATTGGCAATTCTTGCAGAGGCTTCTGGAAGATGGACTCCAAAATGTCTAGAGACCTATCATTCCACTGACCTGAAAAGATTAGAAATCCTTGTCATAGTTGCACTGTCCAGATTGCAAACTAAATATATTGTACTTTTATATATGTTAATCATTATAATTGGCATTTTCTGTAAATTGTTAATATACTTTTTGCTTTTATGTCTAACAAAATTTTAGTTAAGCTTTATATGAAATTGTAGTCCTGTGTCAGTCCAATTCCATTGCATAAATTGTTCTGTGATATGGGAAATGGAATTCTTTAAAGCAGTCTCCCCCTTCCTAGTGGCCTTCAGAGGCATTTGGATCACAACTCCCAGAATTCCCATCCAGCAGGATCATTGACTGAGAATTCTGGGTATTGCAGTCCAAATATGTCTAGAAGGTGCAAGGTTGGGGAAGACTGCTTTTAAAGGTTGTGTTTTAAAAAACGGTGTTTACTTTATTACATCTGGCAACTATATAGTTGCATATTCTCAACATAAACTGGCTAGCTGAGTGAATTTTGGCTTTCCTTCTGACCAGGTGTCTGTATATGGAGCAGAATTATCATCAGAGGCATGCAGAGAGCTTGGCTTTTCCAGTAACTTGTTATGCAGTTCTTGTGATCTTCTTAGCCAGTTTGGCTTGAATCAGCTGGATCCCTTCTGTAGAAAGTGCTGCCAAGAAGAAGCTCAGTCTGAAACTAGAAAGGTAGGCTTAATAACCATGCATAAGTTATTGTTTAAAAGTTGCTGATATATTTATTATTTATTTAAAACTTTTATATGCCCTTATGCATGGCATGTCAGGATGGCTTACAATCATTAAAATCAGAATACAATAAAACAATCCATACTAATATAATAAATAACATATAACCAGTAAAAATAAATTAAGTAAAAGATTATTAGACTTGATTTTTCTTTGGTTAAAACTACATTAATATAATATTTAGCCCATTTGTGAAGGCTGAGGAGATACTTTTTGTAATATTATCTCTGCTGATGGTGAGATTTCGTGAAACCAGAATATCAAATCATTCGCTAGCTTTCTATTCTGCTTTGGGCACATTGAGACATTTGAATTTCAGAGTTGTGACTAGAAGATATAGCACAACAAGTAAGTGAAAGCTGGACAGCTTCATAAAATTAAACCAGATGCAGACTGTTTTGAAGACTTGTTACAGTGTAATCCCATGTGGCTACCCATGATCTTCCAAATTCAGAGGATTATGGACATCTTATGGAGAGGGAGTGAAGCAAGGGTCAGCTGCACACTTCTCTCACCCAGCAAAAGACCCAAATGTATTATTTTGGCCATGTGATTCTTTTGCCAGAGAGTGAGAAAGGAAAGCTGAGGCATCACTAGTGTACTAGGCATGTTGGCAGCACCTGATTCCTCCCTGGCCTGACCACAGAGCACCCACGCAATGCCAACTTTGAGGTCATTTTTACAACTTCAGAGCCATAGCCAGGGCTGTTCTTAGTGCATCAGCTTTGAAGGCATGGTCCAGTTTCATACTCGAGTACCAGCTCCAGCCTTGAAGCAAGGTCAGAGCTGGGACTCTGAATGTTTCTGTGCCCATCTTGATTCCTGTCTACATACCATAGGATTGAGCTCTTACTTTCTTAATAAGGTTACGATCCTATGGCTTGCTGACTGTAATCAGTTAAGCATTTATATTAAGATAGGGTGGGTGGAAGGTATCTTCTCTGTGGTGGCATCCCAACTGTGGAATTCACTCCCCAGAGAGGTTCGCCTGGTGCCGATGTTATATTCTTTTTGTTAAACCTTTTTATTTGCCCACTATTTTAATATTTAATTATTTTAATTAGGTTTTATCATTGTTATGCTCCATTATGCTTGTTATGTTATGCTGTATTTTGTTGTGTCTTACTTATTGTTGTAAACTGTCCTGGGATGTTTCGTAAAGGATGGGGTATAAATATTGTTAATAAATAAAATAAATAAATATTGGTAGACTTCAAGGTAATTTTAGTAGAACAGCAAGAATTTCTGAATTCCAGTTGTTCAGCAACAGGAATAACAAAATGTCACCCATACAATTTATCTTACTGATGTGAAGAAACCCTGGAATATCCAGAAATGGATTTCTCTCTGGAAGGACTGAGATCATAACTCAGTTCTGGTTGCACAAAACCCCCACATTCCTGTGTTGCTGCTCAGGAGCACTATGTTCTTTAAAGTGCATGTTTTTGTACCTGCCTGGCTCCACTGGGTAGATCACAGCGTTCTAGTAAAACACAAAGCTTGAAATCTACCCTTATCTGTTTTAAAATAGATAATGCCTTATTCTTCAAAGCCTTAGTATGGAAGATAAATGAATTGTTTATTGGTAGCACTATCTTTCTGCCTGTTCAAATTTTAAAAAATTAGACAGAATTCTCTCTTTGGCTCATAATGAAATGCTTTCAGTTACTTTATTTGTTGGCTGTAGTTCAGAGATAGATGCAATATACATTCAATATATTGAATTGAATATAATGGTTGGTAGTGCTACATGTTAGGGGCCAAGGGAAAATAAGTAGAAGGGAAAGATCCTCAAATTCAGGAGTTTACAAAATATTTGGATTTTTTTTCCAAAAATAGAGTTGGGAAGTTACGAATTATTATCATTCTAAATATGGGATCTGAAATAGTTTGCTGTGCTAGAAGGATGAGTTTATTTCTCTGTAAAAGTGATCACTCATTGAAGGAAATAAATTTATTTCAGATGTGGTTGCTGTTGAATACTTTTTTTTAATCCCCCTTTTTAATAACAACGTAACACTGGTTTCTGTGATTGTGCATTTCTTTCCTTGGATATCCTCTAACTGCAGTTGTAGGGATGCTTATTCCAAAAAAAATCCAATTAAGTTAAAGGGAATCTTCCCATATAAGATTTTCAGTAGTCTGCAATCCACAGATTTTCAGTAGTCTGCAATCCACAAAATAGATCTATTTGTAATCTTAGTCTACTCAGATAAAGAGGTGGTCTGATTACTACCCTTGAAAGGAAAATCCTGAGTTCCTGGTACTGATCCTAGCATTCAGGTTGCCAAAGCAAGCTGGGGTGGAGGCAGATTTGCCTCTTGATTGCTCCCAATAACACCAAATCATTCCAGTAACAAACTGGAGCTTTTCCACTTTGAACTAAAAGGCTAGCAAATAACATTTGATTTATGCAGAATTCTCTGTGGCATCACTCGAAACACATATCAGGGCTTCTCCTCTGCCATCAACAACAAAATGCAGATGAAGAAGGAATTGAGTGGATTTGAGGCCAGACGTAAAGTTTTTACATTCATCCTTCATGAATTTTCAGGTGTCCCCCTCCCCTTGTACGTATTGTGTGGTTTAAGCAGCAAGCAGTAACTTAGCTGGATGCATCTGATTTCCAGGCCCCCACCTCTGAATATATTCCCACTGAGAATCCACATAGCTTTGAACAAGACTAACCTGCTATTTTTAGTAGATGAGTTTTCAATATTCATTATGTTGAGAGTGCCCTGTGGGTATTCCTGTTGATTCAGGGAAGGTCTTCAATCAAGTGCCCTTGAATTGTATGCTCAGTGTTTCAGAACTTCTCTGCTTCGGGGAGAAGAATTTGTTATCTTGAACTTATTTATAGAGACTTCAGGGTTACATTACTTACAAATGGAAGCTTCTCTGAATATTTTATCGTTCAGAGAGGCATGAGGTAGGACTTCCTGCCATCTTCATTATTTTTCACAATTGAATCCTGACAGTTTTCATCAGACAAATGTTCTTTGTGTAACAGGAGGAAAAAAAACTAGTTTCCACAGGTGAGCTATTGTATTGCTTGGGATGTCATGATAAGCTATGGCATATCGTGATAGCAATGAGCTGCAATGAGTCTTAGGTTGAAATTTTTTATTTAAATAAAAACATACTACAAAAATGAGTCTTAGGCTCACACTGTCCCCCTCTTTTCTTTGTTGTTACAAAGAGGCAATAGGAAGCTTTTGCCTCCATTTTTATTTACTTTGTTTTGATCAAACTTGACTCAAAACTATGGTTAAAATTAACTAAGGCTTGCTTGGAAAATGCTGTAGCTAAGATTAACCATAATTTGTTGCATTCAGAAAGGATGGCAATTTTTAAAGGGGGGGTAAAAGCTTCCATTATCCTTGCAGCCATACCAGAAAACAATGGGGAGGGTATGTGGACCTGAGTCTTGCTGTGGTTTATTCTAATCATAAAGCTTGGTTTATCATGACAGTTTTGTATTCCGCAAATGTTCTGGGGGCATTATAAAGAAAGGGTGGCCTCTGCAGATCTGTTGAGCTGCTCAGGATATAATCATATCATGTTGTCATGGTATCTGAACTGGCCCATTGATGCTTTTATTCAAATGGCTGCGCTGAGCTTCATTCTGGATGTTACCAAACTCATGGGCATGTGCTGGATAATGACTATTATAACATTTAGAAATAGCCTTTATCAGTATTTAACTCATCAGAGTTTTCCTGCTGGCACCTAGCCCATCCCAGAACATTGAGTGGAGTTTTCATGGTTTTAAGCATGAAAGTCCTGAATAAAATGGAACATCCCAAATCAGTACATTGTTAAGATGCGATTTTTGCTTATGCAGCTAAAATGCATGTAATTCAGGCTTTCAACAAATCCCAAAGGACCTTTTTTGGTTAGAAGTAAGGCTCAAGTTGAAGAAACTAACTGCATTTACTCACATATTATTAGTAACTACTAAAGATGCACAAATTCATTTGCTATGCTCATAATGGCAAGTATCTTTCTCCTCTCATGAGCATCTCAAAATCACTTCAGCAAAGCAGGAAATGTTTAATCTTGCACTTACTCTTGTCCTGCTCCTCTTAAATATTACTGAGACCAGGGGAGCACAACAAGAATTCCGGAAACTTCTTGAATGCATGCTGTCTCTGCAACTGGATGCTGATGAAAAGCCATAAGGATTTCCTATGAAGACTGACAAAGAATTAACTTGAAAAAAATGAGTACATGATCAATATCTCCCTGGTAATCGCCTTCAACAATTATTTATGTATGTTTTTAAGTATTCTTTGTGAGCTGCCCCGAGGCTTTGTTGCGATTGGGGCGGCATAGAAATGTTTTAAATAAATAAATAAACAGGATGCCTAGTTCATGAGCTGTGATGATATGGCAGGGAGGAAACAATGCTATGAACTGTGGGTCAAATTAGACATTTAGTGGCAAGCACAGGGTTCTGAACTCTTTGCTTGATTTCACTGTAGAAAGCATGGTGGGACAAATGTCTTGGAAAGAAGGAGCATTTGGTCTTTAATCTTTTTCTTGCCTATTCCTTTTTCTGTGTAATTTCTCAACCCAGCTGTTGTACCGCATTTGACCAGGATATCTGTTAAGAAACCAAGCTAGAGTAACAAATGCTTCTAGAAGGAAAGTAGTGGAAAGGGCTTGGGTTATACATGTATCTGTTCCTTCTCATCCCCGGTCTCCCTGGCAAATACTGTTCCCACATTGTATTTCAGAAAGAAACATGGGATTAGAAATGGCTGCCAGATGTCTAATACTCTTCTGACTAAATAGTGCAACATCTTGGCAAACAGAAAAATGTCAGTGTTGCAAGGCAGTGGGCAATGAAGCTTTGTTCTAGAGAACAGTAGGCTTTAGAGTCTGACCACTTCTGTAATGGTCAAAGACTGCAAGGTTATTCAGAAGACATGGTGGGA